AGGTTGGAATTGATGGTGTGCTAAGCCAGAACAATCGTCCTGTTGCGTATTTCAGTGAGAAACTCTCTGGCCCCTAAGTCTCGATATAGTATTTATGATGTGGAGTTTTATGCGATAGTTCAGGCAGTTCGACATTGGCGTCATTATTTATTTTAGAAGGAGTTCATTTTGTATACTGACCATGATACCCTTATACACCTTGGTACTCAAGATAAGGTGTCTGCCCGGCATGCTTCTTGGGTTGCCTATTTGCAGTAGTTTCCTTTTGTAATTTAGCACAAAGTAGGTGTCCTTAACAAAGTGGCAGATGCATTGAGTAGGCGACAAACTCTTTTGACAGAATTGCGCGTAGAGTTCCCAAGTTTTAACTCTATTGCGATTTATATGCTATTGATCCATACTTTTCACAGATTATTCGAAAATTGTAGGAGGGTGTGCAGTCAGACTTTGTGTGGGTCAACGGGTTTCTTTTTCGGGGAAATTAGTTATGTATTCTTGATTGTAGTTTGCGGCTTAAGATAATTCAAGAGTTGCATAATGAGGGCCATGTGGGTCGTGATCGAACATTACAACTTGTTATGGCTTCTTATTTTTTGCCTTCATTGCTCAAAGATGTTGGTAAGTTCGTAGAGCGTTGTCGAACATGTCATCTTGCTAAAGGAAAAGCGACGAATGCTGATTTGTATATGCCCCTGCCTATTCCGACCCAACCTTGGACAGACATCAGTATGGATTTCATCTTGGGACTTCCCAGGACTCAGCGTGGATATGATTCTATTTTTGTAGTGGTTGATCGTTTTTCCAGGACGGTCCATTTCATCCCCTGCAAGAAGACTACAAATGCTATCAATGTGGCACTACTATATTTTTGTGAGGTCTATCGTCTACATGGTCTTCCTGTCTCTATTGTGTCTGATCGGGATACTCGCTTCCTTAGTCACTTTTGACGCAGCTTATGGCGTTTGGTCAATACACAGTTGGATTTCAACAGTTCATATCATCCTCAGACAGATGGTCAAACGGAGGTTGTGAACCGTTCCATGGGTGATTTGCTGCGTTGTTTGGTTGGTGATCATGTCAAGTCTTGGGATCAAAAATTATGTCAAGCCGAGTTTACTCACAATCATGCAGTTAACCGAAGTACAGGCTTTAGTCCTTTTCAGGTGGTGTATGGTCTTGTTCCTCATAGTCCTCTTGATTTGGTTCCAGCTTCTACTGCTGTTAAAATGTATGGTAAAGCGGAGGATTTCATTCAACAGTTGCAGCAGGTTCATTCACAAACTTTTGATCATTTGTAGGCGGCTGTTACTAAGTATAAACATGATGCGGATCTTAAACGTCGTCATGTTGAGTTTGAGGTTGATGACTTTGTTTGGGCGATGTTGACAAAGGATCGTATTCATGAATATACCAAACTTGCTGCAAAAAAAATTGGTCCGTTGGAAATAATTGAGAAGATTAATCCGAATGCATATTGTTTAAAGCTGCCCATTCGTACATCCGACGTTTTTAATGTCAAGCATCTGGTGTCATTTCATGGTGATAATTCTGATAATGACGTTATTCCTCCGCCAGATTCGAGGGCGAATTTTTCTCATCCAGGCGAATTATAGTCTAATTCGATTGGAAACGGGCTGAAAAGTTAAAATGAAAATGAAAAATATAGTCGTTACAGATCTCACACAAGAGATAAAAAGTCAAATATGATGGTTTGATATGATGGATAACAGTCATATTTTTCATTTTAATGGACAAATAATGAGAAACAAATAGGGGCATAAAGTATTGTAAGCCCTTTGTGGCCGCATTGATTGATAGAATAAAAAATTTATGTGAGCTTTTCATCTTTGTAAGATTTGTTCATATTTTCTATAAGTTTCAGCTACATCACGAATTTAGTTGTCTTTGATAGTATTCCTAGGTAATTGATGTGGTGCAAAAGGAATTGGACTTCATGGTAAAGTGGGATCGGAGCAAGAAAAAATAATTTGGAGGAAATTTGGAGTTGTCTGTTTTTGATGAATTTGGAGTCTAATTCGGTTGGAAACAGGCTGAAAAGTTAAATTCAAAGGCTTTGCTTTTGACGTAGGACCAATTTTGGGCAAATTCCTTCGTTTAGGCCCTTGTTTAGGCTTTTTTTTTTTTTGCCTTTTTTGATAATTCTTATTTTGAGTATATCTCAATCAAATAAATTCGGATTTACATTTCGTTTGTTGGAGAGTAATCCCAAATATTAGGACTATCAATTTCCGTCATTATCTTGATTTTTTCCATTTTTGGAAAAAAAATCTTTTTTTATTATTATTATTTAATTTCCGAATTTTCTAGGTTTTTGGCTATAAATACGTTGTAAGCCTCTTGAGGCCACAGATTGATTTGAATGAAATAAAAAATTTCGTGAGTTTTCTTCTTTGTGTGATTTTTTCATCTTCTCTGTAACTTCCGCTACGTCAGTAATGAAATTACTCTATCCTTGATACCTCCGCTAGGTTGAGAATGGAATTGCCTTTAAACATATTACTCAATTTCAAGTACCCCCACCCAATTAGGATTTAAAAGTATATCCTCGACTTTAGATCTATTGTCCCGAAATGATTGTCCTCTTGACTGTCTCACCCTAAAATAGTTACACATCACCAAAATTTTGAGTGAATATACAAAATTTTCATTTTTTTTTCCATGCCAACTTGTGTTGTAACTTTAGAATCACCGTGAACCGTTCGGGCAAAAATTCTACGTCACCATAAAACGTTGCTGAAGGAAAACACTTTCTTGCCTATGGAAGCATAATTGCTTTCAATGGAACCCCAAAAAAATAAAATAATAATAATATTTTTAGCTCCTTTTTGTTGAGTTACATCCCTATTTTATAGAAATTAAAATTTAGATTTTTATCAAAAACAAAGTGAATAATTAATTTTAATCATATATTTTACCAGGTCCACAATTTTTCAACCACACACTTTATCAACTTTTATTAAAAATAAAAAAATAAAAAAAATTGTTAAGAATCTGATTTTAATTAATCTCCGCCAAACATGGATATATCATCTAGCAAGCGTGTGATCTTCTTGGCATAAACCAATCTCTTCAAAAGTGAAATCACATCTTAGAAGCACGGGTATCATTTAGGCACAAGGAGGGCTACGTGTTTGATAAATTTCAATTCATAATTGTTTCAAGGTTTTTGCAGAGGAGAAGACGTTGTGCTTCGGCGAAATGATTCGCATCCAAGTTCTGAAATCATGATTAGATTTTTTATTTTTATTTTTATGAGACGTTACTCAAGAATCACCTAAACCATGCAAGAAATTAACTCAAGAACTGCTGTAGATTGTTCAGGATGGAAATATCATTCCACTGTAAATTGTTGCTGAAGAAAACCCTTCCTTGACTATGGAAGCATCATTGATTTACATGGAACCCAAAAAAATCTTTTAGCTCTTTTTCCGAAAATATATTACATTTTATCATGCAAGTGACCGTTTCTTCTTCGTTTTGGAATAGTCGAATCTCTTCAAAAGTGAAATCACGTCCATTTGAAGCAGCATTGAGACACAACAAGGCTATTTATATGTTCGATGAGTTTGTGCAGAGATATATTGGAAAATTATTAATTTGTTATGTGAACCAACATATGCAATTAATTGTGTATAAATACTATTTTTCAAAATTAAAGTGATCTAACAAAGAATTAAATAATTGGGCTTAAGGCATCTAAATAGAATTTGAGTGAGATTATGTGTAGAGACCGGATTCCTTTAAAATTGTATTTCATGATGGACGAAATATATGTGAAAGTTATATATAAGGTTATGATTCTCAATTCATATACAATTTTCTCATTCTTTGTGTAATCCCATGCACACAAAAATTATAGATAAAGTTTATTGAAAAGAAAGATCCATAAAACCCACAAGCAAGAACAAGCAATTTACATTCAAAACTCATGAAGAAGAATTCAAGAATCCACAATCAAGATTCAAGATCCGGAATAGAAAATTTAAAAATTATAATTCAAGATTCGTCATTTGAAATACAAATCAATGGATCAAGATATTTTCTGTATTAATTATTTTTCTTGGTAATTTGACATGGAGATTTTGACAATTATGTAAAATTTATAAAATTTAAATTTCATTAATATTTAACAAGATAAAAAAAAAAAATTGCGATTTTGCTGAAAATTTATTTCTATGCTATGCTTTTTGTGTTCATACGAGTGACACCAAAACAATAATTTTATTGATCGTCGTTAAATTTTCAGGCCTTAAATTATTTCTTGAGTTATAACCCAAGAATCACCATATGCGTTGTAACCTAAGAATCTCCGTGAAGTGTCCACGCCAGAAATATCATTCCATAGTCATTTTTTCCATTATCAGAGATAAGAAGTGCCAATTAACAAAAAGTTGATATAAAAAATTTAGTGAAAAACGTTGAAGAAATAACTACGAAAATGCACAAAAACTAATGACTTTCATGGTAATTGAAAATGTGGTGCAATTAAAATGTTGTGAGCATATAATTGCCCTTTACACAATCATTTTCAAAAGTTGACACTTTTCAAATATACCCTCATCTATGCGATATTTCCACATTTCCCATGTTTATTTATTTTTTAATGGATAATTTCTTCGAGGTTTAATGCTGTATCTAAACTTATTGGTTTGTCTGATTTAAATCTTTTATACTATTCAAATCATGTAAATGGCTCATTTTATATTGGATATTATATTATATTATATATATATTTTTTAATAAATATGAAATACATATTTTATATGTATGTGTTCGACATAAGGTGATAATTACCTTTTAATTAAAAACAAGGTGATATTTATTTTTCTAACATGCCCACTGAAAATAAATAGTTTTAAAGAAACCAAACCAGTTGAGTTTTTTTCTTGTAGTCACCCACTCATTTTTGTAGCGGGGAATTTGTACAAGTTTATGACTTGCTTAGTGTCGACCAAAATCCAATATGGACAGCAAGCATCTATCTTGTTGATGCGATCAACTTAACATAAAAATTTGTAATACAATCGACATAAAACGTTGATTATTGCCAATTGCTTGAGTTAAAGATCAAGGCGTGGAAGGCATCTCATAAAATATGAGAAACCATTACATGAAAATGTTACAAAATAATTGAGGTTAGACATTGGTAATGAATAAATTTAATTAATTTTGATTCTAAAATAATAACCGAAAAAAAAAAAAAAAAAAGGAGAAGAAGAAAAGCAAAAGCCACTGCAGATGATCTGATAATAATTTTTTTTCTGAGCAGCCATCGCTCTCTCTTGTTATTGCCATTTTTTTAAAGCTTCATCCAACTGCTACCTGCACCCCCATATAATTATTCCACAGCCAAGCAAACTGTATATGGAATTTAGAGACAACATGTTACAGCTCAAAAAAGTACCACTTGGAAATAAATTACTAATCTTAAATTTTTATAACTTTTTAATAACATACGATACCATACCACACCCCCACATGCTCATGTTCATGTCACTTTGTTGCTTTACATGTGATGCGAAGATTCTTGTGGTTATCAGAAATCTTTTTGTGTATTGAGAGTACGTAGAGATTGATATTTCTCGAGATCATACTCGAAAAGATTCCTTTTTCATATAGAAAGAGTATGATATAATTGGAATCCGTGCACTAAAGAGCGTAATCTTGGGAAGAAATTACAAAATTACAAGGACGACGAGCGATGTAAATTATTTAAAAATATATATATAGATTTTTTCACACAATCAATTCAGCAAGTTTTATGAAAGTGGAATTCCTTGCAATTTCACAGCCTGTTCAAAATAGAATTTTGCTATTTGACCATGTGGATCTATGTGGGACCATTTGTTTTTTGACTTTCTAGTATACATTGCAATGTTGAGATTATTTAGTGCATGTGTGACGCTAATTAATTTATTTTACGGTTTGCTATAAGATCATTTTTGATCACATATTTATAAAATAAAATATTTCACATGTTTACCAAAAATTTATCCTTATTTTTTAACCACATATTCTCCTAAAAATACTTTTCAAAACTCCCTTTTTCCCCCAATTAACGATAATCAAACGTGCTCTTATTTACCTGAATTAGGAGCAGCAAGAGATGTGGTCTTAGAAATCAGGGCCGGGACTGTAGGAATTGGGCCAGCTGTGGTTGGTGAGTAAATGTGGGCAGGAAGGCCCACTGCGTGTGACTGATGAAAGTGGTAGAGAGGGTACATAGGCATCAATGCATTTGAGTTCATCATGGGCTGGGCTGGATATACTTGAGAGAAATGCCCATGTTTCTGTAAAGAAAAATCAAAATTAAATAAATAAATAAATCTTATAAAGATTTATATTGACAAATTTCGTCACTGTGATAGCACATTGATCAAGTCGATTACACTTCAATAGATTTACATATGAGCACATTTTACTCATGGGGTGCCCATAACAAATAATATATACACGTCATATAGTAAGTGCATCAGAAATTTGATTTATCTTGATTGATATTCGATATACAGTTAGGGGCGGTGGGAGGGGGCCAGGCCCAAAAAAAATTTAAATTTTTTTTTTTTTGAAAATTCAATTTTTTTTTGGTGATTTTTTTTTTTTTTTTTCAATATACCAACCCAGTATACAATTTTTTATTTTTTATTTTTGTCCCCCGTCTTCGCCCGTGAATATACTTGGCCAAATTTTATTCGCGTGCTCACAACAATTAGCATATGCGCAAAAAGTGTGATAATGTGTATTAAAACCTGATTTCGAAAAAAAGAAATAATAATTTATGAATGTGGATTTACTTACATGATTGTAATTCATGTATGTGGCAATATATGTTGGAGAATACCTGAAAATGAGTAAAAAGTAATTTAAATTGCAGGTGTAGGATAATTGTGTGGACAATCGAATCATATTGTGACAGCACATGAATACCCATAAACAGGAAAACTTTGATGGTGCTGCTGATGATGATGAAACGGGGGCGGAGTCGGTGCTCCAGCTGGATAGTACCATTGTACGTGATTTGCATGTGCTGTTGAAGTAGCCCTTGGTCCAACATTAACTCCATTAACTCCTTCAATTTTGTTGAAAACTATTCTTAATTCTCCATTAATTTTATTTTCCCAAAAATAATAAAATTATTAATTTGATAATAACAGCTAAAAAATGATAATTTAGTCAATGATTTTCTTGTAGTCATTATTCTATTTATGGAAATAATGAAGTAAAAAGAAATTTAAAATCTTAATTTTAATAATAGGAACTGTGAGAATATAAGAATTCAAGTTACCTTGCTTGGGAGGCGTCGCAGAGGAGGACCTGGGGCGGCGGGCCCCAAGCGCCGCCAGATTGCAGTTGGCACGACGGCCGTTGATGATTGGCGTGGCATCCTCACAAGCCTTTTTTGCCGCCTCGGCATCCTTAAAAGTAACCTGTATATATAATATCATAATATTTCAAATAATAATAATAATAATAATGAAGAGAATAAAGAAAAATTATGATCCAGTGGTACTGGAATGCTTAGACCAGATTACTACTTACAAAACCATAGCCCTTGGATCTGCCGGTGACCTTGTCGGAGATGATAACAGCCTCCAAAATCTCACCATATTTGTCAAAGTGCGATTTCAAGGATTCTTTGGGAGTTTCCCATGCTAAGCCTCCGACAAACACTTTTGTCATTCCATTGTTGTTGCTCATCGTCATTTTCGAAGTATATGCCTGAAGATATTGTATATACACAGAGACACACAGAGAGATTTCTCCAAACAACCACTCACCCAAAAACTTGTTGAATGTGAATATATATGGAGAGAGAGAGAGAGATGTACTGTGGATATCTATATATGGCACAAGATGGGGAGTGGGATGCTTGAGTGTGTGTTGGAATATATATAATATTGGAGAAAAACGATGAGACAGAACGGCAGACTGTTGGACATTGGGCTGAGGACACCAACGTGGTCTCAATCTTCTACCTGGCACAATTTCTCAATTTCCTAATTTTCACTAATTTGCTAGCTTGTAATGTCATATTGCAAACCCTCTCTCTCTCTCTCTCTCTCTCTCTCTCTCTCTCTCTCTCTCTCTCGAT